TTCAAAACACTTTTTTAAAAAAGGTGGAATTACCAACACACAGAAACAGATGTTTCTGGTACTTAAATCTCGGGAATTCAGACTTCTTGTCTGGCATCACCTGGTTTTGATTCAGTATTCATTGTTTCAAGTTCATTTTGCTTAAACTCTGTCCAGTGCTGTAGAGGTAAAACCACACTACCACCTCTGGAAGTGAGTAGCTGTATTAGTCTTGAACACCTTTCCTTAAAAGATCTTTTATCACCGCAATGAAAAATAACTGGAGGTAATTTAGAACACTGTACACAAGCACATGCACTCACAGACTTATTGACACATGCACAAAATGACTTGGCAAGGTAGTATTAGCTTTTCAAAGGGATACAAGGTCTCCTTCTACTGACTGGAATGGAAACAAATTGAGGATATACCTGGATTCTCCCTTTTGCTATTTCAATACTTCTCAAAAGTTGCATTGTACTTCTGAAATTTCATTTTGCCAACCTGATGTTTGCACTGTGATCAGTAAACACAGCGTGATTCTGCTCCAAACGTGTTTATGTACGAAATCTCCCCATGCAGACTTCTCCAAAAAGGCATTTTTCCTCATATAAAAGAAAGCTGAAGATAACCAGCACCTGTTCAGATGCAGGGGACCCTCCCTTGTGCAGATCTGATTGCAGCACTCAAGTGCATGTTATGTGAACATTAAACTTTTTTCTACTCAAGTATCTACTTAGTTAATAGAAGCCAGTTTCTGAGGCATCATCCTTTTTCCTTCCTTCTGAGAAAGGCATATCCACACAGACAGAACTATTCCCAGACTTGACTAGAACCATCAAACAGTATTTGGGTTTCATACCACAACATCTGTATTAATATTAGTCAGAAATCAATCATTTAAATTTTAACAGCATAGGCTCAACTTTCTTATTAAAATAGTCATCAGTTAACTTATCAGCCTGTACAGAACATTAAAAGTGATAAATAAGTGCCAGATTTTAATGAAGTGACAAAGCTCTAAGCTGCTTCTTTACATGATTACTTGATGTATCCTACATTGTCTAGTACGTGATTTTGTCCACTGAATATATTATTTATAATTTAACAGGTCATTATGTCTTTAACGTAATTGTGGGAATAAAAGCACATAAAACGCAAGAATTTCAAAATAAATTTTATAGCTCACATTTACACACACACACAAAAAAATGCATTTAAGAATTATGATGGTGTAAATGAAAATAGGGAGCTGGTACAACAGCATCTGGATTTGTCATGCAGAACTCCCAGTACTACCAAATCCTCACCACTGTGACCAGTGGATGTACCATTCTCTGTATAAGCAGCAGAAAATGGCTCTAGAGACAGAACTCAATAACTAAAGCTCTGGCAATGACGCTGTTCGCACTGCTGAAGGAGAGCTTCAGAGTTCATGCTCTACCAAATTAAAACCAGGCTCAAGATGCTGGCTACTGTTATGATGTGCTTCATGCACCGCTTCTCACATGTTCCTAAGTTAATCATCCAGACACTGTGGACAGAGCGTGAGCTCGCTGTGGGATTGACCATGCTCAAAGCATCTTTCCTTCTGGGAAGCTCAAGAGCTCAGTATAGGGCTAAGCAGGTATTCCTTTATCAGCCAAATGGAAGCTGAACTGCATGGACAATATCTCGGATAACATGGGACAACAATGTCAGGTTGATGACAAGGTGACAACTACCATACAGAAGGTATGGATACTATATGAAGATATGACTATGGACTGTATGACATCTTAAGACTCTTTAGCTCCAAGCACTGACAAACCTGGAGTACCATCTATGCTGGGATGATGCACTTCAAATACAGAAAATGAAATAAGGCAAATAAGATACAAAGAAAGGCTGTGAGAATTATCAGAGATTGAACACAAGCTATGAGGAAAGACCAAATGGACTCCAACAGAGATGATAGCCTGAGAGGTAAAGCAGCATCCAAACATCTCAGAGGCTACTGCAGTGAGACTGGCAATAACCATGAATTAACAGGAAAAATAATGAGATGTAACAGCTGTAGGAAGAACTGGAAAAAGATGTTATAGAAAATCTTTTTAAAGATTGGAATAAATTGCCTAGAGGCAACTGGAGAATCTCCATTGCTAAAACATAGGCAAAGAAGGTATATTGCAGGAATATCACAGCTAGATTTGATCATGCATTGGGAAACAGGGTAGGGGATCTCCCAAAGCCTCTCCTGGTCTGTTTTCTGTCTTCAGGGAGACACCTACTATACTGCACTTCCAGCTAGTGCTTTACAGAGTTCCAGATGTAATTAAAACTATGAGCAGGACTGGACTACAGTTTTATTCTGCATTGATTTTCCTGGGAAAGAGTGAGGTTATACAAAAGGCAAGATTCTCAGACTACATAATTCAATTTAACCTCACTACCTTGAAAATGCATTAATTCAGTGAAATTGGGTAAATTACAACAGATGGGAATCTCACTCAAAATCTATGCCACTGATCATATTTCATCCTCTTCTTTCAGCCAACAGGGAACATCAGTCATAGGTCAAAGCCTTATCTTAGGTCAGACTCTTAATTTTCATCCACTTAAGCTTCCATCTTTAAACAGCAGAATTTAGAAACTTCTGTACGCCATCATGAAAATTCTCAGAACAAAAGGTCTCCATTTCTGTGGTCTCCAATACCAGGACACACATTTCTCAATAACTTTGTCCATTCCATCACTTTCATTTTTGAAATATTTAATCACAATTGAGTGTTTGTTTTCCTCTGACACCTCCAGCTGAGACTTGGTGTGAGTTGGCTTGAAGAGGGAAAACAAAAAAAAAAAAAAAACAAAAAACAAATGGATCCTGACACGTCAAAGATACTACGAACTCTGAAAGGCCATAACACAGTATCAAACACTGTTATATCATCTCTGACAAACTTCCACAGTTTACCAGGATAGGAAGCATGGCTGGCTATGAAAAAAATGCATTTTTAACAAGTTTGTAATCATCACTTACTCCATGGCCCCATGCCAAAGAGAAAAAGAAAAAAAAAGATGACCACAACCACAATGGAGAAGATTTTGAAAATTCTGTCAAAGACCCATTAGAAGGAAAAAAATACATTGGTTCTTTGGAAATTCCCACAGTGCTTCTAAATGCAGTTCTCCTCAGAAAGATTCAAGTTGTTAAATGTTTCTCATAAAATTGCACCTATCAGAGAACATTCAAGGCCAAGCCACTGTTAACTCTGTGATGTATACCTGTGTTCATACAAACTAGCAGAGAGAGCTACATCCTGAATACAGAAGTGCAGAAAGTCACACAGAAGAGACATGCAAGCTGGCTGGCCAGGCTTAGTTTAGCAGCTTGGGGCTCTGCCAGAGCTCACATCACAAACTGTCTGATCCTGTGCTGAACACATGGCTCTGGTGCCTCTCTACCACTCACCACTGCAGAGGACAAAGTGCTGCTTTCTAGGAGTTGCCCAGCCAAAAGAAAATTAAACATTAGCTGACATGTACAAACTCAACACCAGCCTAACAAATTGGGTTCGCCTGCATCACAGCATCTGATGCTCGGAGTCAGGTTTGCTGGCACAGTCCTGGTCTCAATGGATTGGTCAGCAGAGATTGAGCCCAGATGCTTTCAAAATGTCAGGTAAGTGTGATGTTCACATACAACATAAGCTGCTGCAATATAAACAAGCCTTAACACTACACGTCTCGTAAAAGCAGTGTTGGACCAGTTACATACTGCTTTATCTGATCAGATGTCAGCATCTGCTTTCAGCAGAGAACCAAAACATTTGCGCTCCTTCACCATCCCCAGCCCCCACCCTGCTAAAAGTGAGGAAGAGCACTGACTGTCAGATCTTTCTGTGGCATTTTATACCAGAGCAGAAAGACAGATGTTTTAATTCCCCCCTCCTACAATCTGGGCAGACAGTCTCTTTGCTAAGCTGCTCACCCTTGCCATTAAAATTGATTTGCACAACAGTAGATTGCAGCCAAAGCAAGTACGGCAGTCATTAAAGAGTAGGCTGCTCACACATGTTTCTGTACTCAGCCAAGTCAACTCCTGATGAATGGGTCATCTTTTGTCAAGCAACTGTAAGGAACTGGTAAAGAAATAATTTGCGGTTCAGGAACAATCATGCTGACAGGTAGGCCTTCTCTTGTCGTTTTGCTTTCTGGCCGCAGCATGCTCTGCTCACTGGTCTTCAACCGATCTCGTTGTGATAACAGAAAATAATGACCATGTCCTTGTTGGTCACAAAAGCTTATGCTGAGAAAATCTTGGAAAATCTTGAAAAAGTAAATGTGCAGATACTGATGGCAATTAAATCAAATTGAACTCTAACACAAGCAAAGGACAATGATTCAGAAAGGAATTATTGGGTCAGAAGTGAAAACTTTACTATGTGACATGGCGATGCTCAGCACATTGCAGAACACTTCTTAAAATTCAAGATGCTCCCCAAAATTACACCTCTTCTTATTGGTCTTCTCACTGCCTTCAGTGACCTTTACTTAGCTCTGGTCTGCTCAACACATCAATGTCACTGTTCTCTTGCAGTCATGGAGGTCACTTTTTCAGGTTTCAAATATATACACACATACTTTTCTACGCAAGATCTCTAAAACTTCTTGCATGAGGACACTACGTATTACCTTAATATGGCAATCATTAAAAAAATGTAGTCTTAGTCCTAGAAATGGCTTCAGGTTGTAGAGAAGACAGCAAGAGAAATCATGCTACAAAGTCCTCAGAGCAAAGCAGCTCCAGGAAGCCTCAGCTAGATCCATGTTGCATTTTACGAAATAACAAATGAAGCTGTAAGGGAGAAATCTTGAGAACAGACAGGGAGTGGCTGTAGCAGATGAAATTTATATCAGAAACATTAGAAATGTGGAGCCAAATTCCTGCCTCCTTCCATAGTTTCCACAGCCAAAAGAACAAATTACACCCGTGGGAGAAATATGCTGTCAGGAGCTGCATGGAGGTTATGTAGCAGCCTATATCGAGCTCTCTTGTTGACTTTGCTGTAATATCCCAGGCAAGGATAAGAAATGAGGAGCAATGCTTTGTCTTCCTCTATGTTCAGTAGCTGCTGCTACAGCACCCTCATATCTGAAACCTGAGATAGCTCTTGAAATACATACTTACAATGTACTGCTGAAAGTTGTAAACAGTGTTGTAAATAGAAAACTTTATAGAGATTTCCAACCTAGACAAATGAGGAGGGATAGTCACAAAGAGATTGAAAGATAATGAACAGCAAAGCAAACGTGAAGTTTTACTCCTCAACCTCATTGAACACAAGGCCTCAACTCCAAAGGAACAATTCTCAAACACTGGCAGAATAACCTCCTGTCCTGAAAGATGAAGGAAAAGGCCAGTCCATTTTTAGATGTGTTATCCAAAAAAGGAGTTAGCCAAAGGTAATAGGTAGTTGTAGGAAGCAGTGTTCTAAGTGGGTGGAGTTTGGCATAACTGAAGGCTGAGAAGGAACAAATAAAAACTGACCAGGCACATCTAGCTATTAGCTGTCAAGTAAGTACCACTGCCACCTGCCTTAAAATTAACCAAACATCTGTAAACATGTACTGAGATCTATTAAAACTTGCATTTGGCATCTCAAAACAACCATACTGATGTGCTGCTCATGACCACAGCGGTGAAAGCTGCAGGACAAAGCCACCAACCTCACTTGAAATTGGTCCTAATTATGTAGATTGGTCTAGGTCCAGAAGGCTTCTGTCTTCCCTGAATATAAACAGTTACAGAACATTTGTAACCCTCTGAGCCACGTTTCATTAAAGTGAAATTATAAGAACTATTTGTCCCTTTCTAATTTCTACTTTCAAGAAGTAAGCAACTTCATAAGCAATTCTTGCTTATGTAAAGATGTCTGTTGTCACACAGCTTTCTCCAGAGGTACAACTGATCAGGAGCAAATCACAGCATACAAACTCTCCAGTCTGGGTGTCTACTTGTGGAAGAATGGGCTGTATGTACTGGCACATAAGGTCTTCATCTGTCTTGCCTACACTACATCAGTTCACTAAACAGATTTAATTTACAATTTTCTCTTTGTAATTCTCTTTGGAATTTTGGTTTTGATAATAGAAATCTCTTGTATGCATACACATGTAAAATGACAGGTCTTTAATGATGCTAAGTCAGACAAATGCCCCTTCAATGAACACAGAGTAGGAAAAATGTCCTTGAATATCTTAGACACAAAATGCCAATAAATTGAATTTATGTCTCATTTAATCTGCAATGGAACAGTTAGTGCTTTAAAGGGTACATACGCTTCTCCTGGTCCCTTTCTTCCTGACAAACTTTCAGATGCTGAAAATCAATTCCTTTTGTCTCCTCATTATTCATCTGCTACACATTAAGGAGAACTTTGGGCATTCAGTGATCCCACAATGGTCTTTCATCTCCAGAGAAGCCTGGTATGAATTAAAATCTTACGCTCTCACAAATTATGGATGCATACTGCAGCATGCCACTGGCTTATCTGCTCATGACTTCTGCCAGTTTTCTCAGCATGCTGCAGCTACCTCATCTGCATCTTTCAACTTAAGTGACTCTTCTACAGTGCTGTCCATGCAGTCCAGGAAAAGTGCTTTGACATGTCCTCACACAGTGGGTACTGCTATCTATTCTCCTTCCAACTGTAGCTTCACTACAGCCAAGAGCCTAGTACAAGAACAAGAAATAGTTAACAAAAGTAACATTCTTTGATTTGATGACTGCACAGAAGTAACATTTTACTGATGTAGTTTCTGTCACGTCTGTTTTTTAAGGGCAGTTTGAACTTAGGAAATTATTTATTGTCATCTGCAACAGACATAAAATTCTGCAACACTGGTAAAACACACCCTGGTCTTTCTTTTGCTCTCAGCTTCCTGCTATTGGTGCTGATGTTTGTCCACTTCTCAACTCTCTATATCCTGCAGTCAAATTAGCACAATTAAATTAAGGAAACACTTGTAAATACACATTCACATGCTGTCCTACAGGAACCATCATCCTTTGCAAATAGCTTCCGTAGCCACTGCCCTCCCCTGACAAGCTTTTAACCACCTTGCTCTACAACCACCTTGCTCTAATCTCTTAAATTAATTAATTAATTAATCTCTTAAATTACTGTTTCTTTACTATTTCAGTGTGAAACATTTTCCACCAAACCATCTTGTTATCTATTCCATATCAGCACTTTGAAGAGCTTTAAAGTAAAGGTAGTGAGAAGCTAAATTAGAGGAGAAAGGTGCGCAATATCTAACGCTAAATATCAGTTAAAAGGTGACACTGCAGCCCAAGTCCAGTAGCTATTTTGAGCAGATATTACCAAGAAAATTTGGGGTTCAGCATCTGCCTGTAATACATGTCCAAAGCAAATGAGCAAATAGTTCATAGCGGGAACTGAATCCTGGTACCACGTGAATTGTCTGTGCCAGCTGGATTACAGCTAGCTCAAATACACCTAAGGTTTGCAGCCACTTGTCATCCTGATTCCTGCTCCAGGTTACTGTACAGATCCTACTTTCCACTGGCATCACAATGGTTTGCAATTCTTCTCAAAGACATTAAAATACTTGAGAGAATGGAAGACAAAGACATGCTCTCTGCCTTTCCGTAGAGCAGCTGTTAGTAATTTTTCATCAGATGAGGCAAAGCAGGTTCAAGTCCTGACAAAAGCAACCTCCTAGCACGGGGCTGCTAGCTGGTGAAAGCATTTAGAGAGGTGGCCATCCAGCAAAGACCTTACTTACCTCGCTTGAATCCTCTTGCTGATTGATAACAGCTAGTGCATCCTCTGCAGCCTGGCGCTTGGCTTCGGCAACGGTGCGCTCCATCTTGGCTCTCTCGGAAGTGATCATGTCATGAGCCTTCCGCTCAGCCTCTGACACTGCCTTCTGCAACTCTGCCATTGCCTGACGTTTTACTTCATTGACAGCTTCCTCTGTAAATGAGGGAAGAAATCCTTGTCAACACAGGATCTTTAGTGCAGGGCTATGCACAACTAAATCATGAGATGCAACAGCTAATCTGCTGCATCGTGTCTTCGTGTTTAGCAGGGTGAAGGTGAACTTGGTTCCTTGCGACTCTTCAAGACTACCCAGATGCTTTATTTCTTTACCAACAAAGCTCTCACAAGCCTCTAAAATTCATGGTGGTTCTTGATAATTTTATTAACATATCATAAGGTTCAGACTTTCCAGGTCTCTGGGGCATTATTTCTGTAATCTTCTGGAACATTTTATTCAGAAAATTGAATCATAGAATCATAGAATGGCTTGGGTTGGAAGGGACCTCAAGGATGCAAGTTCCATCCCCTCTACCACAGGCAGGGCTGACCAGCCGATATTGCTTTTGCAGTACACCAGATCCAAGAATATGTTTGGCAAGAATTATTACAAAAGAAATAATAAGACATTTTCAGAATTGTATCACTTAGCTCTGAAAATTACTAGAGGATTAAATCATTAGCATTTTTTCTTTTTTCATTTACAGAATAAGTACATGAAACACCCAAGAGTTTATTACAAAATTTTAAATTCTTTGTTTAATATATTTTTCCCGGACACATACTTTTAAAAGCCAAAATTAAAATTTGTTTAATAACAATCTTTTGATCTACTGATCTCTTCTGTACACTTCTGCAGACCAACATTTGCACTGCAAAGATCATTTCCCAACGCTGCTGGGCCCTGAGTGCCCTAAAGCCAACATGACTCCAGCACACAATTAACCCTGAGCAGGGACAGACTGCTTCATTACATCCAAAGCTTCATGTTTTAGTAAAATAACTAAGTCACCATGAGCTGTTTCTTCAGTATCTACTAGTGTCATATCTTTTATTCCAGAAAACATGCATTGTCACAAATTAATTATTTGGATTTTGATGAAGGAAGAGTGCAAAGATTTTACTAATGAACAATCTTTTAATTGACAACTAAAACAAGTAATTCCTTTTTTTTTCTAATTAACTGCTCTAATTAACAAGGAAACCATCCTCCTCCTGAATTAGTTTATCTAATTTTCATCTTTATTCAAAGCAAAATGACAATGATTAATTGAAAATTTAATAAGCAGTAATTATTAACTTGGCAAACCTAGTACCAATTAACACTCTATTAAAACTAATTATGACATGTTTCATTCAAGTGTTTGCACTTAATTGTTTCATCCACTTAAAAACCACCTTAATTAAATGTTATGTTTAATTAAAAACATAGATTTCTAATAAAAATGTTTTACCGTAGATTAAAATTTAAGTACTGCAACTGTGTTATGGATTTGAGTTGAGGGCTGTATCACATGTATTTGGGTGCTCACACATGTACATACACCTAACTCTTACATACAGGCACTAAGTCAGTAGCTGTCCTGAGTTTTGATGCCTATACCTCTCTGAATTTGTTATTTCAAAAAAGCTGCAACACAAAGTCTCTATTTTCAACAATAACACAAAGTACAACTGCAAAAGAGACTTATTTTCAATCCACGCACCCGCTAAAGTTGCATTAATTAAAATGAAAGAAGCATTCTATTATTTGATGCCTGTATGGCAGTGAGATATGTGTCAGCTGATTTTTTGGGGTGGGGAAAGGGAGATTAAGAGATAAAACTTATGCCTCTATTTTTATGAGGCTGAAAATATGCCCTTATATTACCCTACCATAACTGTTGTTTAGGGGAAAGCCTCAGGAGAGATAAAAATCATATCCTTCAACCACACAGCCAAGGCTTAATTTACTTTGAATATTCAAGGTGAATTAAAATTCTATCTAAGTGGCAATACAGGACAATAATTTTTGCTTACGATCAAAGCTGCAGCTAGACTAATTGTCTATGCAAATCAGGCAATTTATATTTAAATTATGCATTCCTATTCTAGTCCCACAGGCATGCACAGATCAGCAAAGGGAATTGGTAGGACATTTGCAAGGTGCTTGAATATTTATTACCAACTGCAAACATTCACTGATTGTGAGAAGAGAAATATACACAGGCAAAAATACAGATGCAATTTTATTACCATTTTCATAAAAATGAGGCAACTTAAATACAGACGTTTTGCGTCTATGAACTGCAGTTATTAACAAAGCAAATTTCTTTGAGAAAATCTGTATTCTTGCTGGTATTTACTATGGAAGAGAAATTAGCTTTGTTAGGCATTATGCACTTTCAATATATGATGCAAGCTTAGTCTTATGCTGAGATGTTTGCAGTGCTTAGAAATGCTAGTTTGAACAACTGTTTTAAACTGGAAGCAGAGTACCCCAACATTTTACAAAGACTTCTAATGTTACAGTTTTAATCCTACCTAGCTACGTTTGTTCAGACCAGATATAGAAATAGAACCGAGTATTTTCACTTCTTTTGCAATGCTTTTGAGTGTATGGAGTATTTATGAGGCCATATCCCAAAGGAAAAGGAATTATACTTTATGCTAAAGTACAAACTACGGATTGGTATTTCCATTACTTTTGACAGCAGAATTCGTGCAATGAAATACCTGAAAGTGCAAGCAAAGAGTTACAGCCTTGTGCTTTTTGGTCACATCATCTCAATATAAACAGACAAAATTCCCCATCATCCATTTTCTCACATCTCCTTGAAAGTTTTCAGTACCTACAGATATCTCATAGGCATAGAACACAGGCTTCATAGCTTCAGAAAGGTCACTAGTGAGACTGACCCTTGACAATAGTCAGAGAGAAGACCAAGAATGAAAGCTTCACAGAATACTGCCACTTTTCCACAGAAAGGAAGAATGATTAGATTCTAACATCTGAAAATACAAATCAAAAAATTTTAAAATCAAACATCTAAAATGCATTTAAGTGCATCTTTCATTTTCTAGGTTGTGCTAAGCAGTCTTGGTATAATTTCTCTAGGTATCTTCAGAATGCAACTAAAATCTTTCAATGTGAATAACACTAACTTATGAAAGAAGCTCCAGGGAGCAGATAGCTTATGTGGAATAGACGTTACTCAACATGATCAGAGGTCCTAGATGTTGACTCAGGAGAAGCACTCAAGTCATCATTCACTGCTGTAACTACATGACTCACCAGTCAATTCCCAGCCATTTCTCTTGTATCATGGGCATACTATATCTACATCATGACAAAAGGGGAAGTGATGGACAGGACAGGGATGAGGTGCTGTGTCAACCATGACATCTGCATCATCTCCTTCTCTGGGTGAGCAGAGTAAAGAAGGTCACTGGGAGTTGGTATCAGAAATACCCTGAAAAATATTTATTGCCTTTGTATGAGAGAGTATGGTCACTCTGTGCCTGTTTGCTAATTCCAGCACTTCCCTGTGGACTGTGACTAGCAGTAGGTCCTTATGTGTGATGGTGAATGGCTGGAAGACAGTCTCCTTATCAGATCAAAGGCAGCTAAAACAGCAACCCACAAAGGTCTGGAAACACCTCAGTATCTGACAAAGAGAAACATTTCCAGAGGGCAAATCATCTAATCTATGATCTGACTGATCCTCTTCATATGCCTGCCTTACTCTTGACTACTAAGGGCACTGAGAACTTGTCTTGAACTCTTCATCTGAATAACTATTATTCAATGACATTAATCAGGACACTGACAATTTTCCACTGATGAAACTGAATTGGATTCACATGGTTTTAATTTACAAGGTGTTAGATACTACATACTTGCTCCAGCATCACAGAAGTACATGCTTCACTTAGTATATTTGATGAATCAGACTCTAAAAGTTTAAATTGAATCTGTTTTTCAATTATTTGCTGGTTTTTGAGGGTTGCTTATAAACTGTTTTTATGCCAAATTCTTTCAATTCAATGGACTCAGCTTCCCAATCAGACATTTGCACTTAACTCAGCTGTCTACACTTTGGTCTTTATTGTCATTTGAGACACCAAGATATCCACACTGAACTTGCAGCAATGACTCATGAGAGATTTGCAGACTTCTAGACTGGCAGTAGCAGCCATGCCAGGAAACTGCACAGCACCTCAAATGGCAATAGAGACTCAGCCCACAGACCTGAATTGTGCTTTTACTTCCTCGAACTGATTCTGAACCTCCAACTTCAAGCACAGCCTTTTGAAAATAAATGTCAGTGATTTAGTGAAAGCGGTATGCTTTCTGGTATGTTACTGATAGATGTATACATATATACACGTAGATGTATAAATATATAGATGTGTATATATATATATATATCAGGTCAGACTTTTATTCTCCAGTTCACAGACATACTTACTAAAGGGAATCTGACTGAACGCCACAACAGAAATAGGACCAAAGAAACTTTTAAAACTTTGTTTTGAAATAACTGATGATACAAATGTTCACAAGATGACACATCACAGCTCCTTTAAAATGCTATCTCTGGATAAACACAACATGAATGCACATCCAATTTTACATGTCAGGCCAAAAGCTTCCATTAAACTTCTATTGCTAGCTTATAAAGAAATTTCTTCTACGGTACTGCAACTAGAAGTCAAAAATAACCTGAAATGCTAAGTAACATTAAAACCCAGTTATTTCAAGAAAAACCAAATTCCTGAAATTCCAATGAATAATGCTTCTCTATGAGGATTCCTGGAACTGCGTATTTTTTTCTTATTTTTCAGCTACAATGTTAACATGAACATGGCAAAACAAACTATGAAAAATATTTGGGCCATAAAACAGCATTAAGTTACAAAGCTACATAATCCTTGGACAAAAGAAGAATTTGTAAATAGTTATTTTTCACAGAAACGGCAATGTTTCCAAAAGAACTAATTAACATACTGACAAATGTTAACTGTTAGTGATGAATCTGCATTATATTAACAACACAACCTCTTGTCTGATGTGACAATATGCCAGCAAAACATTCGTACATGTGTGTCCTGTATCGTGTCTAAAATACACCAAGCAATTAAAGGGTGTTTGATCAGAAAGCATTGGAACTGCTACGTATTTGCCATTTAATCATTAACTGCTGCGCAGAAGGTTTCAGTACATGGTTATAGAGGTGTTCAAAAGATATCTTTGTCACTCTGTGTGCGTGTGTAAGCATAAGTGAGAGTACATGCTCAACTACCTAGTTTTCGTCCAACTAACTCTTGGCCCCTCTGAAAACAAAGATGCTCTGATAGTGATGGTGAGAGAGTAAAGGCTTCTCTTTAGTAGCCTAGCAGGATCCTTGCCAGGAGACTCCTTGGCTCAGGCAGAATTTCTGAGTGTTTAAACAAATTCTTCACATCCACATCTGCCCATGTTGCTTTCAACTTCAAGGAAGACATGAATGTCCAGGTAACCACGGGGAGCATTTATGGAGACAATCTTGCTTGACTCCTTGAACACCTAGCAGGAGCGTGAGCCCAGGCTTCACTTAGGGCTAACTGTCACAAAATCTTACTAAAAGAACAGCCACACTACAGCTCCTTTGGGAATATACTCTGTAGGGAATTCTCACATTAAATAGGTGAGAACCCTAAAATTGGGGGGAGGGGGGAAGAGAGGAAATCACAAAAAAAAATTTTTTAATTTGTTGTCATGTTGAAACTTTAGCATATCAAGTTTTAGCCTGAAACCTTTATAATTCTCGAAAATAGGAGTCCATGATGGAAGCAGCAAAAGTTCCTTAACTACAGCAGCAGATGCTTCCATTATGAAGATTATTTCATGTTCTGATCGGTTCCAGTTTAAGATTATTAAATACAATTTCTTCTTGTTACTAGTAAGCCCTTTTTTTTTTTTTTTATTCCTCACATCAGTGTGTTAACAACTGCACACAGCTGCCAGAATATCAAGCTCTTGTTTTTAAACAGTTCTTACCAGCTTTCTTCCAGATCTCCTCTGGCACGTATCCAGATGCAGGCCTGTGAAGGAATTCCCGATGCGATTCTACAGGAGGAGAGAGGGGGAGGAGGGGGAAAAAGAAAGAGCATGGTAAGCAACACATGGGGATTGAACCAGACTCCAAGAAACACCTTTTCCCATTCCCTGTTGCTCAGGAAAAACTGTATGGAGTTTTTCTTTATGCAGAATAAGCAGGACACTGCGACAGTCACTCAGGAATGCCACACAGACTGGATTGATGTTTAGGGCTCCAATGTCTCATCGTAAGCCAAGCTGAGACTTGTTGGCTTTATTTTTATCCTGCAGTTTCAAGTCATCCCTGTATGACAGCTTTTAAAGCTGGCTTTGAGAGACTGACTGAGAGGTGACATGCTTCATCCTTTGTAATTACGCTTAGAAAAGAAAGAAGAAAGCGCAAGCAGCCTGTGCTTGGCACTTCTGGCTCTGCACACACAGGCCGGCTGCTGACGGCTAAGATAAAAAGCAAGATGTCAATCCCATCATCAATGAGTGATCTGCAGAGAAAGGAGGGGTGTTTCTGTATGCTCAGAGCTATGCTTTCCTGTCTCTGACCCATGTGGGGAACTGCAGCCGCACAAGTTTGAAAAACAGAGCCTTAAACTTTAGGTTAAGCTCCCACATGCATCCACCACGCAGCCTCACGGGAGCACAGAACTCACCCACGTATTTCCATCACATTTTGACAGTCCTTGCCCCCCTCCTCTCCTTCTTCCAAGGGTTTAACCTCTGCGCCTGAGCCTAAGAACTCTGAAATCAGCAAGATCCCGTCCACACTGACTTCAAAGCCACAGGATCAGACAAGGCAGAAAAAAACCCCCTCACTTTGACCTGAAATTCAGCACACAGATCCACAGCAGATGAAAGCTGCTCTTTTCAAATATGGTTTCAAATATAATTTTTAAAATGATCAACTGTATGTTGAAGTAACGCAGCAGAAATGTTTCTAAAAATATTTATATTTACAATGCACATTATTGCCTGCGTGATAGAACTCAATTGTCGCAATAAGTTTTTTTTACATCAGAAAGGTTTTGCATCTTTGAAGAGATTTCACTTGAAATTAAGCATCCTTTATAATGTCTGAGTTTGAATTGGGACAAAAATGCACACAATTCTTTTTAATTTTTACTGAGTATATTCATTTTAGTATATTAAATTCATTCTAAGATATCTTGTCAGAAATTAGTCCTTTGATGATAACGGTTAACCACTGGGTTTAGCAAATTGGGTTTTTTATCCCTTTATATAGACATGCAGTACTGTTTATATACAGTAGGCTACAGAAACTTGAAAAAACACATTTAGAAGCTGATGTTTGATCCTGCAGCTGGCTACCAGAGATGGGAGTGATGGGGCAGGTTCAGCAGGCAGGCAGCAGGGAATCCCGCTCCCTGCCTGCTGCTCCACAGACACAGTTTCCAGCACAGGAATCTGCAGACTCCAACAGGGCAGACTGCAGTTTCCCATCTGACAGGCAGCTGAGTGGATTTCCCCAGCTCTTCTGTTTTTCTCTAAAAATGAATTTTTATGGGCAGAATTTCACACCTCTCAAACACGAAACAATTGGAGGGGGGGGCACAGAGGGGGAGGGAGGGGGGGTGGTACTTAAAGTTGTGTGCAAGAATAGCTAACTATGTACGTTGGTTTAATTGACGTGGTAGAGGACGTCAGCCCCAATGCTGGAAATGTGCAAATAATTTGTATCAGTTGGCCCATGTGATACTTGAGACTACAAATACAATTGTGTACACTTCTCCTGTCCTTTGGAGGTGTTAAGGCTTATGGGAACAGTGCCAGTTCAGCCAGTGACAGAGTAGGCAGAAGAAAGCTCAGGAAAACTGAAGGTGAAAAAATGAAAACACTCTTATTTGCTTTCCTGCACTAAACACAAGACACGGCCAGAGTCCAAATGTGGCAGAACAAAAGGTTGTTGTGTTCGCATCATGTGTTTTGTGCTGAATTTTCCTTTCTGTGATTTAAGGTACTAACCATTGCGGGGGAATCACAGCCTTGATTCAAGCCCTCCACCACCACAGTATTAAAAATCATAGAATCACAGAATCGCTCAGGTTGGGAAAGATCTTAAAGATCATTAAGCCCAATCATGACCTAACCATGCTACCCTAACTCTAACAACCCTCTTCTAGATTGTGTCCCTGAGCAGCACATCCAAATAGTTTTTAAACACATCCAGGGATGGTGACTCAACCACCTCCATGGGGAGCCTATTGCAGTGCTTAACAACCCTTTCTGTAAAGAAGTTTTTCCCCACATCCAACCTAGACTTACCCTGGCAATGGAGAGATGTGGAGCTGATTTTTCAGTACACGTGACTTTCCAAAAATGGAATCCAATGACATAAATGACCAGATTGCCAGCTAATTGTTAAAATTTCCAAAACATAAACATCAATCAAGCTCTTATTCCAACCACAAATTATTTACATGAGGAATGAGATCCTCTGCAAGAAAAATTAAATCAAGAGCTTGTGAGAGACTTTCCCATCATTTGGAATGGCACACAAGAAAAGACAAGAAGCACTTATGAAGATAATAAAATACATATTTTCCAAGCAAGACAAATATTATTAACATGACTATTGTTTAGTCAGTGGTGATGAGTCCATGAAACAATTTTCTTCTGGGGGTAAAACTACAGGATGTGACCAGAGGATGTAAGTTTTATATATATATTTTTTTTTAAGCTGAGGTGTGCTTCAGATTAAGAAACACAGAACTTAGTAAAAAAACAAAACTTAACAGATTTAGAAGTCTAGCAAATTCCAAACAAAAGCACCACAATCAAGCACAGTCACAAAAAAGCCCAGCAAGGAACATAAAAAGTACATATAAATAAGCATAGCCAGTACTCGCCTACTAAGAATTTAAATGAATTAAAATAAGAGACCTTGAAATTTAAAGTGATTTTGGAACTTTTTTTTTTTTTTTAATAATTTTAATGTCAAATATATCCTTCAGGAAAAAACGTTGCTGAACTGGCACATAAGAAAAAAGATGAAGATACAAAATTTTCTCTCCATTTTAGCCCTCAAACACTACTGCACAGTAGGCAAGGATATATTTTGTAAAATGTTTTTAGTGTATTCTGGATTTTTTAAAAGAAAAAGGAAAACATTCACACACATGCACAAATCCTACAGTCAAGTATGGTGCCAGATTCCATTCCAACTACGGTGCATTAATTCTAACAGCGTTATGCCCACATGAATCATCAACTGTGAAGTGACTGACCGTGTTTCTGGTGTTCAACCAGTAGGAATTACTTATAGGCTACTTATTTTTGGTGGTTTTAGGATAAAGGTAATTGGTACTAGAAGTAGTGAAAGAGGGAAATGAGAAAAGTATTAAGAGCACAAATAAAAATGGGTCTGGGAAGCAAAGCAGAAGAAAAGCTAGAACCAAAAAAAGGAGATGAACTTTCACATTATAAGAACCAAACCTGGGAAAATAGAATAGAAATACTTAAAAGTAAATTGTGTTCAAAAAAATCTAATCCATGTTTGGAAAGATGGAATAGAGATGAGTTGAAAATATAAAATAATGGAAGTTTTTGTCACTAGATAATGACATCCAAGTTTATAATCACAAAACAGTAAGAAACGGAGATGAACAGCTGATCATTTGAGGACCTTTTAAGTCAGAAACACAGACTGATTAACATATGAAAAATACAGAGATTTATTTGTATTTATACATATTATATGTGCAAGTTTTGCTTCATTCTACCCTACAATAAATATAACACAACTGGTGAGACACTGGTAACAAAGAAAAAACCCCTCAGAGAAATAAATATTAAACATTCACCACCCTTTCTTTTTAAGCATCAGGCTCAGAAGTTGAAGTATAAATCTGAAGAAGTGTAATACTAAGTGAAATAACTTTGCTAACTTTGATGAAGGACATGAGTTTCAACTATTTGTGTACATCTTTCCTCCTCTGCCCTCTAATATGTTTTTTTGTGGCTACTGTAACACTCCTTGAATACTCATGAAATCACATTAAAAATATAGTTGTGCTCTCATTTTAAAGGACTAAGAAAAGTAGTGCATTGCTGTATCATCTCCTCCGCTATCCTCAACCAAGATGCAATTTCCAGCAACTAGCAGCAGTAGATACTTTCCTCTTCCATGTCACTTGTGAGTTGTTTTGCAGAGCACAACAGTGACAAGTGTAGTATAAAGAACAGATAAAAGTTACCCAAAGCAGTCAGAACTGAACACTGAAAATACAAATGCCGCTGGTTTCTGTGGTCGCAGCCCTACATTGCAGCCTGCAATTCATGCTCCCACAATCCAGCCCAAACCTCCTGTGCAGCTTGTGGATTAAGAGTAATATTTAATAACATCAGTGACCAGTATTACAGAGGCTTTATATTCTAGAATTACAAATCATAAATTTTACTGTGATACTGACAGCATCTCTGTTAGCTCATGTTGAGAATGTGACACGTATTGCAGCAATGCTGATTATCTGCAAAGGGCAAAGGAAAAGATTTTGTAACTGTGGCACAAACAGACAAATATCAGCAGGAATGCCCTAGTTAACACTGGAAGTACTAGGGTAAGCAACATTTGATACAACATAAACAAACTCTGGAAGGATTAACTATTAAAAGTGTATTAAGAAATGGCTAACCTATCTATTTTTGACAAATTCATATACTTCTGAGAATTGTAGCTTCCTGGGGGCAAATCTTGCACATATTGGCACTCTTAAGTCAGAGATTTCAAACAAAACGAAAGAAATTGTAAGATTACCATTCCAATAAATTCACCAAATATCAACTCTGCTACAAACCTTGTGATGTGTGCCTATACCACTTATCTAGAGCTACAGCTGCACTCAGTAAAGTTACAGATCTTGTTCATAACCCACGATGTTGAAGAACACTCATCTTTAATTTATCCTACTGTGTGTATTTCAGTATACATTCTCTGATATGTGTAATTATTCACTATTAGGACTAAAGTGATTCAGTCCTCTTGCAGTATGCAGTACTGAAATGCTTCAGCAGAAATGGAAGAGTCAGATGATGTATTATTTACTTCATGGACCATCACAGTTCATCAAGTGAATATATATAAAGTATGAGTCATTTTTAGACTTTCATAAACATGTATTATTCAGACCAAAATGAATGGACCTATTTTACCTTCAGTATGCTATCAGAGAATAATGGCATCTTGTAACCTGTTGTAAGTGGCTAATGCATGTATGGGATTCCATTGCACTAAAACTGATAATAAAATATATCATTTGACTTTTTAATTAAAAATATCAACAGGAAAATGCTCATCAGATACCGTGAACCATCAAGCTCAGAATGATTTACAGAGATGTCAAATTAAAAGAAGCATAAAATACACCTTGCAGGAATGGTCTACTGGTTCAAAATGACCAGAATTTTCTTCACGTTCCTTTGGATGCAACCAGCAATTCTAAATTTCAGTTTGGAGTATTTCAGGAAGTGCTATCAATGAAGACCACGACATAATGCTTATGACTTATCACTCCAAATGATGCTATTTTGATCATACACAGAAAGAAACAAAGACATGGATACTGTAGCCATATGGCCCTCCGCCCCCCCTCTCCCCTCACCCCTTGCTAGTAGAGATGACAAGATGGATTTAAAGGGTGGATTACTTCATTTAAAAGTAAGTACAGGAGAGAAACACTGACATTTACAATCCGTGCAGCAAATAGCTATATTTATATGTTGTGGCACTTTAATTAAAATATTGGAGAAATTTTTCAATCCCTCCCTCTTCGCTTCAAAGCTAAAATAAAATTCCCTAAGCAGAAGAGCATCAAAACTCACAGGCACTGCTTCAATTTTATTATCCTTCTGAATGTTCACAGTTTTCATTTAGTTAACCAGATTACTTGAGAAAATTATTAAACTTCCATAGTCTCTGTGCACTCTTGTGCTTTATATTCCAGCTATAAAAGCCCTTCTTATCAATACTTAGGACTGATGTGAATACTACAGTACTGAAGTGATCAAAGTTACATGTCCACAAGTCCAGGGGAGCAGTTTTTAAAGCAAAATAACTGAAATGTGGCACATTGAAATTGGAATGGACTGACTCCAACCAGTTAAATTATATCCACAGTGCTGCAGAGATGTCATCGACTCTTTCTAAGCAAACAGACTTTTTTCCAAAAACAGGTTTTTTTCCAACCAAACATAACAATAAAATAGGGATCTGACTGTACTTCTTACCATCATTTTATCTTTTGCGAGTATGGTTGTTATGGCTATCTTTCTTGGACTGCAGATCTCTGAAATTCTGGTGAATGTCCCGAGTTTCAATTTATTGGTGGGAATTATAATAAAAATGCAGTTTCCTTCCACTTCTTTTACATACAAATTATACAAATTATACTTAGAAGCTCTCTTTGCACTCTAGCTTTACTAGGGATGGCTGCCACTGCCTTTCATCCAGGGGTTTCCTCGAATGCTTTTCCTGAATCTGGAGATGTGACTAGCATTTCAGATGTCATATTTATGAGCCTTTCTTTACATTACATTTAACGCTATTCGTACAAGCCATTACCTGAACACTTCTTTCTGAGAAGGGCTTCTCTAGGGACTAAGCTTATTAGTGAAGTTGGGAACAGCATTTCCATAACCTCTCCTTTCACTAAATGAAGCTAATTTATAGAGCTATTGTCTCAGATCATTTGACAGACACAAAAAAATGGTGTGTTTGTTATCAAGAGGCAATAAATATTACAGTAAGAATCCAGAGATTTACAAAAAGGATAATGGAGAAGGCATTAGATTTGGTTTTCTGCTTCTCTATTTACAATTAAGTTACAGATTTCATAAATTATTTTTCAGGGCAAAGGCAAAAAAACAGATTTAAATGAAATACACTTGTGAAACAGCATACATGTACGATTCTGCTAATGACAATGATTTACAATGATTTTAAGTAGATAGCATTTGATATGCATATTTTTAAAAAGATAAATATTACTAAAACAATCATAGTTTGCTGTCCTCTTTTAAATAACAGAGAACAATAAAAAGTATTCACCAAGATGGGACTCTTTATTTCACTTGTCATAAAAGTGAAGGGATGAGGCAAACGCCAACCAACATATTAATAAAATACAGAAAGCCCACAGAATAAAATCTTCTGTTTACACAGTCATCCTAGAATTATTTTTGGAGGTACTTTGTGTGTGTGAATGTGTCAGCATGGGGTGGACATCCATCTGCTTAGTCTGCTTCTTGCAGTTAAGCACTGAGTTCTGCTGGGCTCAAAGCGTGCAGTACACCACCTAGCTCAGACAGCTCTGCACAGAATGCAGCAGTGAACACAAATACATGTGCACGGTTGTGGGCATCACAGATGTTGCTACTTCTTTCTTACATGGAAACCAAGTACAGCCAAGAAATGTCCTTATCTTTATATATTTCTTCATTTCATTGCATCATATAATGGCTTGTGTTGGAAGGGACCTTAAAGGTCATCTGGTTTCAACCTTCCTGCTATAGGCAGGCTTTCTGAAAGGTCCACCCCAACTAGCCTTAAACACCTCCAAGGATGGGGCATACGCAGCTTCTCCGGGTAGCCTGTGCCAGTGCCTCGCTGCCTTCTGAGCCAAGACTTTCCTCCCAGCTTCTAAACTACATCTTCTTTCTTTTAGTTTAAATCCATTCCCCCTGTCATTACACTCCCTTACAGTGAGTCCCATTTCCTTAGAAAAGGAAAATTCCAAGTTAACTCATTTGACCTCAGAATGGTAAAGCCCTTCACTTTAGAGTGCTAACAATCCAGAAGCACCTATAGATTTCCTTAATCAAGTAGATAAGGGGGGGAGAGAAAGTCAGGGTTGGTGCAGTTCTCATTGCTGTGCCAGCCCTGCACGAAGGCTGTCCCTCTGCCCCACCACCCTCAGACATTTCTGAAAGAAACGCAAATTATCAGGAATCACCACCAAACCCAAACCATATCACCCATAAATGAGGTTATTTGGGCATAGTATTATACATCAATATAATACATAGTTATAGTTAATTTAGTATTCACCAGAGACGAATACTGTATCCCTACTAGGAAAGAATCAGGTGAGCAAATGCAAACACCATCTAGCATTTAGCTGAGCGGAAACAAGACCAGAAAACAATATTTAATGAGGATACTGTACCTAATGTAACTGGATCTGGATTCACTGGACTCTGCTGTCTGGAATGACTGCTGCTGCTGTTACCACCTTTTTTTAAATCTTCTGCATCACTGTACCGCCGTATCCAGTAATTCAGCTCCTCACGGTCTGCTTCTTGACATCGCCGAAGTACAGTGAGAGATCGCCTAGTTTTTTCCACCATGTCCATTATACAGTTTAACAGCTAGCCACAGCAGAGAAATAAAAAAGAATATTTTATTCATAAATTGACAGTACAATAAATGTTTATATGCTCAGTGCTTGGGCTTTACGAATGAAGGTGTCTCTCTCTGTTTTTCTAAACACACCTGAAAAAATCCAGTCTTAAGAATAATGATTCCTTCTTTAACTCGTTATCTTAAACTGTAAAGATATAGATTCTTGGAAGAAAGGGAAAAGAAGTAAACTGAAAGGACTGTAGTACCATTATCAGTATCACACAGCACCACAAAGGCCTGGTGACATGACCCAGAATTGATGTTTACAAATGTTCTCAAGAGCTAACAATCTCCAATTAACCAGTTCTAAAACTGACGGCCATGTGTCTCATACTCAGTGCCTACACAGCAGAGTCCTTTCCCCATTTGGTAGTCTGTAATAACTAGGATACTCCAATTTGTATACATATTTGAACAGCAGGCCTAATATGAGCTAGCTAATAGGGAACATCAAGCCCCCAGCTTTAATCAACAGTATTTTCCAAACAAATGCCTGTTTTAGAGAGCTCCTTTTAGACAATTACACATAAGCGTATTTAGCCCTTACATGGTCAAGGTGTTTCCACTCTTCTGCCCATTCTCTGTCTGTTAGTCTGTGATCAATCATTTCTTCTTGACGTGTGCCATGCAACCCTGCCAAAAAGGAGCAAATCATGTTTACAGTGTTGGAAGTCCTCTAGGGGAAAAGAAAAAAAGAAAGAAGAGCCCACTGAATATATGTGTCTATCTACATATCATATATCAGCTGGTCTATTAGAGGAATACCACCACAAAAATAAACAGATACTTAAAAACTACATTAAAAGCTGTCATTGGATTTTTCCTCACATTAGATGCTACTGTTTTACTCAATATACTGTCTTCAATTCTGCAAGTTCTGCAGGCTGTAAGATAACCTCTCAAATAAAGCTATAACTCTTTCTGAAATATACAGTAATATAATGCAATATATCATTTTTCATTTGCACTTCTTGAGGAAGTCAGAAAGGCACTTATTTCGGAACTGTATCAAATATTAGCTGTACTTCAAAAGTTGAAAAAATATTAGTGTAAACTTAAAAGTTATTTCACTAAATGCAGTAATTGCTACCATATCAACAGAGCATCATTAAGGGTTCATCCCTTCACAGATGTTTTAAACAACTTGTGGTTAAAATGCAGCACATAAAACACAGCAGCTGACAACATGGTAGAACCACGTCAGTATTTATTATCAACACTCAGAGGAACTGACACTTGCTTCTTGTTTAGCCTCCTCTATACAGATGCTGAATATTTGTAAACGTTCCTCTTTTACTGAAGATTTGTTTAAAAGAAGCCAAGAACAGTATGTGCAGATGTGAAGCAAGCTAGGCAAATCCAAGAGCATCAGCCATCCCTGTAACCCAATGCATGCTGCAGCAAGTCCTGCATAGGGTGTGGTGCTTCTGCAGACACATCTTCTGCAGACATCCCCACATTGCAGTGCACTGAAAGCAAGCTATACCAATTTGTTTTACTGTCCCAAATGAGATATCAGAAGAAATTTAAGATGATCCACCTATCCTTGCTTGGCAGACACCTGAGCATCTACGTTAACTATGCAGCTGTAAGAGCAAGGGTTCCTCCTTCTAATGCTCTTGCATTAGAGTGTACTAAATGCACAATTCAGTCCATTTTTAAAAATACAAATCTGCAGTAAAACCAGGAAAAGTAGCCAGATGGACAAACAGCAAAAAAGGCTACATCTTACAAAGGAAAAAGAAACCTCAAAAAAGCAATGCAGAAAATCAACATGCCTTACCCATAGGTCTGTTTCTGTCCCTGAGGTCCCTGTGGTTGGGGTGTCTGTATGAGTCCCTGTAGTGGTGGGCAATGGCCATATCATCCAAACGATAATGCTGAGGTGGAGGTGGGGTGGGATGAGGCAGACCATTGGGCTGATAAGATAAGCCATTATTTGGACTGTACCGCTGGCCTGGGCTAATAGTGCAGGGCCGCTTGCTTGGATGCTCTGAGTGCAAAGGCTCTCTGTCAAAGCCGTTTTCTTTGGTTCTGAAAAATAAAAGAAAGGAACCTTAATTCACTTTGTGAACAGAACTGTTCAGGTACACTCATGCCCACCTACACAGGGAGCTTTAGGATCACTGCTCCGAATAAGGGGTGCAAAATATTTTGTAAGACTGCTTTATTCAAAACATACAATGGACGCTATTCATCTAGTCTAACTGCCCCCACAGATTCCAGAAATACTTGCAGTCAACCCTTCCAATGCGACAGCTTTAAGAGCTGGGCCAGAGAGGATATTGTTCACCCAAATCACCTGATGACCTGATGGTTACTCATGTAACTGCAGAACTGAAGCAGTCAACCGATACATGAATCCAGAGGCCAAGCAAGGATCACAATATATTTTTAATGACTCTTGGCATGATGGAATCTGTTTGCAATAACTTTCAATAGGTATTGATGTTTTTGACATCTCTCGAAGACAATTTTTAAAATTTAGTTGTCTTTTTTGCATGTATCTACTCAAACTCAACATTCAGATTTTTCAATTGTAATGTTACTGTGCAAGCAAAATATGGGTTCTTTTGTACGTATAAGCCAAACTATTTATTTGTGAAAGTATCCTATGCTAATGAAGTCCCCAACAAAGATGGGGAAAGAAATCAGAAACTGTAAATTAACTTCACTGACATGCTCAAATAGCTCAGTGTAGGAAAAGCAAATCAGAAAACTGTGGCAAGGAGGAAAACAATCAAAGAAAATCCAAGTTTGATTTTCTATGCAATAGTGGATGGCAACACTACTATTGTACTATTATTGTACAAATGTCTGTAGTTGCTCCTTACTCTACAGGCATTTCTGTGTCTTTTTTTAGGAATGCTCTATATTTAATTAACTGTAATTCACTGCTCTATGTAAAAACATCAAAAAAACAAAACAAAACAAAACAAAACACCAGCATATTGATAATGCTTCATTGGAGAAAATTCTTATTTTGCTTGTGTTCCAAAAGATCTTGACATCATCTTGCTAACCCTTTATATTAATAAAATTAAACTCCTGATAATTACAAATGGCTTATAAGAAGCACAGCTCTAGGTGCTGTGAGTATCTTTCTCCTTATTGAGGAGCACTAGAGCTTCTTCAAACAAAAAGATTTTGTTAACAGTTATTGAAGCCGGCCCTTATGCTCAGGTACCTTCCACGTGAATTCACTGTTAAGAGATGTGAGGGTTCAGCCATCACATCATCACTTTGAAAAGGCTCAAAACAATCATAATAATTCCATTTTCTTCTCAGTCAAAATTAGAGATATTCTAACATTCTGGGTTTCTTTTTTCTTAAAAATATCCTACATTTACTTTGTAGGCAGCTGTCATAAATGTAGAACCATTACATGACATGCTCACGTGCCATACAATCTTTTCTAGCAGTCACAGAGGATGACTAATTAGCAAAAAGCCTTTTCCAGTTAATGTATTTAAAATCGTGTTATTTATATCCACGCATTCATTCACCAAAATAAAAACTCATATTGGTCCAAGTTCCTTTGCTTTACTATAGTAGCATGTAAACTTCAGAAGTTGTAAACAAAATATAGTGAACACTTTGTTCATGACATGTCATGAACAAATTACTAAAATGTGTTGTCTCCTCAGGTGTCAGTTTTTCTCTCTTGCAGTGACTGATGGTTCCCAGTGTTATTACAGAAACAGATTGATCTTTTTAATGAGCTAGTTTAATAGACTCCAAAATCTCACCGTGGCTGCTCATCCGTGTCAGACCATATGCACCAAGAAAACATTCAGTAAAACACGAAGCTCTGCTGTCAGATTGCTCTATAAAACCTCACATAGAGTAGCTTTGGATAGGCAGATAAATAACTAGAACTAGAAAATGCATATGCCAAAAAGACTCTGAAATTATAAGCAGTGAGAATTACTGAAGATATATTTTCCTTAACAAAAAATGAAGAGGTGCATGTATTTATCTGCAATACACTCATTCTACCTTCTTCACTTAATCCCTTACTGAATTTTTATGTCTGTTGGAGTCAACACTATGCAGCTATCTGTGCCCGAAAGAATAATGTAAATACAGAAGGATATGTGCGCATATTTTCTCATATACATGTGTGTGTATAATCTATATATATCATTATCTAATATACACACACATCTAAATATGATATACATGATAAATGGTAATGCATGATGATATATAATGGGATGTATATCCCATTTCCCATGGGAAGTGAAAAAATAACACATTTACTCTAGCGACAGATACATCTCCAAACAAAATTGTTCCAACCACACTTAGTTCTCCTTGAAAGATGTTGCCTTTCAGGCACTTTTTGCCACATATTTAACAACAGGGTCATAGAAATCCCTCCTCTAAAAAGACGCCTATTATCTTCCACTGTATATTTATTAGTATATTTCTAATCTACTTAGACATCTCAACAAAAGATCTATGTTTCCCCCTGCTGCTCTGTAAACAATTAAAATAATGTATATCTTGGTAAGTATCAAGCTAGACAAGCTAGACAAGTATTTGGTTTCTATACTTGGTCTGGGCATGCTCTAACTCTAAGGACAGTTTTTTTGTGGTTTATTTAAGCATGTATATTATATATATGTGTGTGTGTGTGTATATATATCTGTATATATATACACACACATTTATATATACATTTAATATATACATACATGTATATATATACACACATATATTCATTATATTTTATTTTATATTATATATAATTTTATACATTAAATATATTATACTATCTATAGGATATGTATTTTTAATATATAAATATATACATATAAATATATTTATATAGGCATAATATAAATAAAATATAAATAAAATAAATATTATATATTTATATTTTATTATGATTTATTTATTTATTTATTGCATTGTTTCAATGATACACAACAGTGATCCAGGAACTATTAACCAATGATGGGGTTGTTTGATTCTGTAGACAAAGAAACAAAAAGCACAACTATCCTCGAGCTCAAGGAGCTATTCTAATGGTTGAAGTAGGCAGTTTTTCCAGGTCTTTTAAGATAATATCAGAGAACCTGGCAGATAGATAGGATAGATAGATAGATAGACAGATAGATAGATAAAGGTGTGTGTCTCTGAAATGCCCTTGCCTCCAGAATTAAGGTGTCTAATTCCAAGTGAGCATTCTCAGAAGCTGCCAGGCAGCTAACAGCTTCATCTGCTTGCACTGAGCAGCACAGAGCACAAGTTCTGCCACCCAATGTGCTCCCACATGAGCAGCTTTCCAAAGCTCACTCTCCACATTTCTCTCCTGGCTTGCCATAAAAGCTGCACTATGACATGGAGAGGAATTGGAGACTCCCTGAGCTGGAAGGAGCTGGAGAGTAACTTCAGCTGTAAAGGCAATAGCATCATGAACAGAGGCTTTCAAAGCAACTATGTACATTAGTATAGAAATAAAATCCATAAAACAGACTGAAACATCCCCAGGTCTAGCTCACACTTTTAATTATAAGACTTTAAAATCCAATATTCTCCTGATCTGTCGATCCCCCTGTGAGCAACTCCTCATGTCCTTTCTACTCTAAGACTCATAGGGGTCCTTTCACAACTTTCACAAAGTTCTCAGACTGGTCTTCACCTTCACCATCCATCTCTCCCATACAACAGGTGAGATGGTACTTACCAAAAAACCACTGCAATTCATCATATCAAACTGAACATTAGTGGAGAAACAAAGGAATACTGTATTGCTCATTTTGTCTTTATGGTCATACAGGAGAAGCAACTCAAACTGCTATTAACAGCAAAAGTAAGCTAAGGCTATCAGAAAGGTGCGTCCCACCCCACCTTCATACTCTGCCAAGCCTCATGGGCTTATAAGGTAATTCAATATATTTACAGGAGAAATACCATGTCTACTACTGACACTGGACAACATCATGCTGATATTTAAATCATTCACAAGATCTACAAGATTTTAAGAGGTCTTCTTTTCCCTACAGTGTATACATGTTTTGGTATGCTACTCTGCAAAGACCAAGAGCATGCAGCAGAATTGCCCCAGGGAGCTAAACCTCAGCTTTGGAAATGTTATCTCTTTATGTGGCTCAAGATCTTGCATGGAAAATGTCTGAAAATTAATCCTCTTTCTAAGATCCAGTTAGCAACTTTGTGTTAGCATCAATGGCTGTTTTAGCTCATCTTAGCTGACAGGAAAAAATAGAGAGAACAGAAAAGGTACACTACAGATCTCTTTATTTTCATGCTAGCACATCAGGATTTCCCAGAGACATCAGCCAAAGTACGCCAGTTTCAAATATTTTCCCTTTTTTTACTACTTAATGGCTAAGTTAAATCTTACTATCACTTCTGCTTTTTATTTTACTATGCAATATTTTCAAGATCTAGCCTCATGAATATCTCATTCCTGTGAGCTCCAATATTTGATGTTAAATTTTGTCTCTACTAGTATTGGAAGCCTTCATTCTTTATCTATACACTTCATAGAACCATACAATATTTGGAGTTGGCCAGGACCCATTCGGATCATAGAATCATAGAACAGCCTAGATTGAGAAGGACCACAATGATCATCCAGTTTCAACCCCCCTGCTATGTGCAGGGTCGCCACCAGACCAGGCTGCCCAGAGCCACATCCAGCCTGGCTTTGAATGCCTCCAGGGATGGGGCATCCACAACCTCCTTGGGCAGCCTGGCTCCACACAAGTCCACCCAGAATTCAAACCCTTTGTCCGAGAGTACTGTCCAAGCACTCCTTTGAGCTCTGTCAGCTCACGGCTCTGCCCAACTGCTCTAGGCATTCTGTTCCATGCCCACCACCCTCTGGTGCAGAACGTTTTGCTGATAACAATCTGATATCCGAATTTGTGCCATCATAGCCAGTTTCCATTAAAAAGCATGTAAGAACTGCCATCTATGTAGAATCTACGTAGAATTGCAGTCCTTCCTGACTTTGTAAACCTTCACCTTAATCCTTTTATAAGGTAACTAGGATGCCTGCAACGCCTTGTGTGTGCAGCTAGCTAGACTGGGCAGAACAGCTTTATAAAAGCTTTCTATATTATAAAGGCCTGTGGCAAACAAAACTAAGAATAAATTCAATATTTGGTCCTCCCAAAGGTAACATTTGTATGTTAAATGAATTTCAAATACTAGCACAAGAAGTTGGTCAACAAGAAATGACCACAATGGTCTTTTTCTTGTACTAAACAAAGAACTAAACAAAGAACTTTACTCAAATAAGAAAAAGAGAAAATACAGTATCCAAAAGCTACTGTACACACAGGCACTTGCTCTGTTTCTGCACAGACTCTCAGCTTAACAAGACAACAGATTTCAGCGAACATTTCTCGTGTTCAGAACAAATCTTAAGCACATCCTTATGCTGTGCATAAAACATGGCACAGCAGAAAGACTCAAATCCCTGACTGCACTCTGGAGCATTCCAATATCAGTATTTAGCCATCTTCACCGTATTTGCTACTTGTCCAAGAAATCACTTAATACAAATAACTTATATATGGAGTTGGAGAGATTTACTCCACACTTCACAGAAAAACTGAAGCAAATGGTTAGTAAGGCACTAACTGGTCAGCGTTACTTCTGTGTAGGGATGGCCATGTTGTGTCCTCAGATGATTTTACTGCATGAGTCAGTGTGTGCATATATATAAATGTACAAGTACACAAAGGCAATCTGCATGCTACACAACTGCCCTAAAGGAAAGACCTGCACCCAGGGCAGAGAATCCCAGAGCCCCAGGATGGCTGAGACTGGCAGGATCCTCTGGATCCCTCAAAATCACCCCTGCTCCAGCACCCAGAGCAGGGGGCCCAGTTCCATGGCCAGACACCTTCTGAAGGTCTCCAAGGAGGAGACCCCACAGCCTCTGGGCAACCTGTGCCAGTGCTCCAGCACTGCACAGCACAGCAGTGCTGCCTGGTGCTCAGAGAGAGCCCCTGTGCTCCAGTTTATGCCCACTGCCTCTTGTCCTGGCACTGAACTTCCCAGCCCAGATCCCCAGCCCACCCCATGCAAGGCCAAGCACGCTGCACCCAAGAGACACAGCCTTTCTCACCTGTCTGGAGTTCGCCTCTTCCCGTTTTCGTTCACATCGAGAAGCAGCTCTGAGGAGTCAACAGGTGAGGTGGTGCTGGCATCCAGAAGCAGCTGTTCGTGCTGAGCGAGGTACTGGGCTGGGTTCTGCTTGGCTAGCCTTGCACAGTGCAGCAGCTCCCGCTGCAGCAGGGGCAGATTGGCCTGCAAGGACATAGCACACATCAAGGCCAGGTAGTTCACATGCAGTTTCATCAAGGACAAGTAAAAAAAAAAAAATCTATCAATGGGAAACACGCTCTGGGATAAATCTGTTGCATGAATCCTGAATTAGATTTGAAATGGTTGGCTGCCTGAAATCAGACAGCTTCACTACAGGTCAGGTTGCGGCTGTACCAAGTATGTATGAAAGAAAGGGAACTCTCACAAAAACAAAACAAACCTGCAAATGCCATGAGAAAACCAGGTCTGAATTCTACACATTTAACAAGAAAAAACATCGCCCTGGTTGATTTCATCTTTTTCCTTACTATCCAGAACCTAAGCTCCTATAGAGCGGCTCTGCTTGTTTCTGTTTTCCCACTGACAAACTCTTTTTGCTGTCTCCATTCAGACTGCAGTTAGCACTTAGAAATCTTTAGAAACCATAGGATCCACGTCTCTGTAAGCTACCTTCATCACCATCCTTCAAGAACAGAACTGTCCTCAGCCTTCTCCAACACGCTCACAGTCATAAGATAAAGACTACAATAAAATCTCACGTTCCAGACCTCCAGCTAATCACCTGGAGGGCTACATCCCTGCTTCATGTCACATGCAGCCTGAAATAATTTTTAATTCTTCTCTCAGGACCCCTCTGGGAGTTGTTGGACAGTTGGACAGTACCAGTACTCAAAAGAGCATTGAAAAAGCTGATTGATCCCCAGGTGGCAGATTTTCCACATTGAGCAATGCTTCTCATCCAATTTGGGACTGGAGTAGAACCATGTGTCCATACGACATTTATACATCTTGGGAAACTTCTTCCTCTCCTTCCAGCACATGCATAAATAGTAAGACAACTCAGCCATTTCTTACCTACACATTTGTGCTGCAAGATAATGTGCACAACCTTCCTTCTTCCATGCCCAGTGCACAGTAAATGTTGCCTGGGGCTTTTCAAGTATTAGACTACTTTCATGGTTTCATGGTTTTTAGTAACTAGATGGGAGACAAAGAACTCTCATGGTTCCCTTGCTTTTAAAGAAATTCCTTCTTGAAAAAAATTTTTTTTTTTCTTTGAATAGGAGAATAGTTGTTAAGGCAAAAGATTCTGAATCTAATGTGCAGCAAAGCAAGCAAAAAAGAACAAAAGGAAGATGTCCTCAAAAAGTTTTAAGCACATGGGCTTGGGAGATTACTATGCTAGTGCTGTAATGATGGCAGATGCTCCAGGCACCTGTTGCTGTACCATAAGAGAAAATTTCCTGTGCAACGAAAGTGCCAGAACAGGGTTAATAACTATGAAGCTTTTTAACAGGATAAAAAAGTAATACCAGCAACTGCTATCACTTACTCATCTTAGGATATAAAGGAAAACAGTTCTGGAACATGAGGTCTTGTCAGACCTCCACAGAACACAAATGTTTTGTGAAACCATGTTAATATCAATCTCTTACTTGGTTTTGTCTAGGGTTGCCACATAACAAGGAGAGATAATAAGCAAAAGGAACCTATACTTTTAGGGTTTGGTGGGTATGGTCATAGAATCATAGAATCATAGAATCACCAAGGTTGGAAAAGACCTAAAAGATCACCCAGTCCAACTGTTCACCTATTCCCAACAGCTCCCACTAAACCATGTCCCTCAACACAACATCCAGTCTTTCCTTGAACACCCCCAGGCTTGGTGACTCCACCACCTCCCTGGGCAGTCCATTCCAGTGCCTGACCATCCTTTCTGAAAAGTAATATTTGCTAATGTCCAGCCTGCATCTCCCCTGCCGTAGCTTGAAGCCATTCCCTCTGGTCCTATCACTAATGACACGAGAGAAGAGGTGATGATGGGTTGGCAGCTGGGACTAGATGACCTTAGAGGTCTTTTCCAACCTTAATGATTCAATGATTCTATACTCATACATGGGTACTTCCAGCTCCTGAAGTCAACCAAATTTTAAGCTGGCTAGCAAAACCCTTGATTTATTTTAATCCTTTTCCTCCTAAAAAAGTTTATTCTTCCTATTTAACCATAAATATGCAGATTTGTAATTACATTTATCTTTTTTTCTAAATGCACTGTACATTTTTTACATGCAAAGAACATATATTTTTTATAAGTTTCTATAGGAAACTACTAATTATGTGCCTTGTAGTTTAGAATATATCTGGGTTTGTAATAGTACCAAGTAGCATTTGAATGAAAAATTAAAATATAAGTGAAGAAAAGCAGCGTTTGAAAGCATTTAGTTCAACCCAACTGCTTACAGTCTGCTCAAAACATAAATATAAAAAAAGCTTATCAAACCATACAATAAAACATAATTGGTTTATCAGGGAAAAAATAATAAAATAATAAAATAACAACAACAACAACAATAATAATAATAATAGTACCACCAAAACACAGAAAACTCTCTATGTCTAGATGAAGTATATGAACTGCTACTGGTCACCATTGCTGTGATGAACAAGAACAAGTTTTTAGGAAGCTGGCAGCACTGACATTTTCCATACTGTGAGCAAGAAGAGATAAAGCTCCTAAGGAAACACAAGTGTACTTATAGATTCTGAAATCCAAATGGCCTTGGACAGAGAGGTTTATGCAGATACTCAAACTGACAGCACAGGTAGTTCTGGCAAAGTGCAGTTGCACATTTCTAAAAATGTCACTGCTGGTGCCTGCAGACAGACTTGGACACCTCTATATGTGACAGATACAAACCAATTGCAGACCAGAAGCCAGATAGCTATGTTAGAATAGCATTGCCTGGAAAAAAAAAACAAAACATGATGTTACTAGCTTACTGTCCCCTACAATTCTGTACTTCATTCACTGGAAAATGTTCCTACTCTGCTTAGGATTGAGTTATGTGATGAGTCAAGGCTGCTTGGTCTGCTGCTTCTACTCTGGACCCATCTAGGGACATGTGTTAGGCACACAGTGTTGGGTCGGCAGTTGGACTTGATGATCTTAGGGGTCTTTTGTAACCTCAATTATTCTATGATTGTATCCTTCAAGGTTTAGGTAGTATCTTAGCCTCCTTCGTTAGTTTTAGAGGATTATTTTTTTTTTTTGCCCAGCTGTCAGATCTGTTTTCCATGTTTAAATGAGCTGTTCTAACCTGAAAACAAGCCATTATTTGTGCACCTGCAAAAGAAGCTATCAGCTCTAAAAGGCTGTTTTATCATTTTAGTGCTCATTCCAGGTAATTAGCTAATAATCTTCTATTGTTGGTGTTCCTACTTTCTTCAGAATTTTAGCAACAGAAATATTTCAGTATTATAATTTAAATAAAAATGGTTTCATTAGACTACAGCACACTGAGGCTCTGATACAAGTTTTTATAAGTGCCATTTTAAATAAATGATTTACAGCCATAGTTTAGAAAGAAAAGATTTAAATTGGGAAGAATGTTTGTTCAGAGAACAAAATCATCAAATCACATATTGATATTGATACCTTGAACAAATATGTACAACACTTCTACTGAAAAGAAGTGTTGGCAGTACTGAAAATGCACCACTTAAATTTAATAGACTAAATCCTGCCTGATGTAAATATAGAAAATGTGTCCAAAATGCTCCCAACCAGCGAAGGTTTCTGCAGGTACTCAATCATCGTATCTCCCTCTGAACCAAAGCTGATGGAGAGATAAGCAAATCAATGACTATTTATTATCTGTAATAGATCAGCACTCCCTTGTGCGAGTACTGTACAAACAGATGGTGAAGGGTAGCTCCTTTCCTTGAATTATTATTACAGAAGCATTAATATAGGCTTCTTTGCAATTTAACGTTTGGTAGACCTACCAATTTGTTGTGCATCTGCACCAGACAAGGACACAGCGTGCAGAAGATTTCAGTGAGGTCTGGGCAACTTGCATGTGGGCCAGGGAACAGACCAATGGCAAAGCTGGGGACAGAATATAGGTCAGGCCTCAGGACAAACTGAGGCACAGAGCGTGCTTGCAGGGCACATAGTGGCCCTAGCTCTGGTCCTAGGAGATAATATTACTATACTAACATAGCCCTGAATGCAAACGAACAAGCCCTGATTCTCACTGTAGATAAACGTTGTCTCAGATTGATTTTGTCTACAATAATTGAGTATAAAAAAATCCCATATATTTGTCAGGTGCTCCAGAAGAAGCATGGATAGCCTTCCAACTGAGTACTGTTCAGACAGGCAACTTGTATTTTTCCTGCCACGTAGTTGGTAGGCAATTTAGTTATGAGAATATGTGCTCTTAAAAAGGTTGAAGTACTCAAATATTGCCTTCAAGCTTGGTGCTATACATGAGCATGCTTCTTCACCCCTCTTCTTATCAGGCAGAGACTCTGTCAGGGTAGGATGTGATAGGATAAGGGGAAACACTTACAAACTCAAAGAGGAGAGATTTAGATTGGATGTAAGGAAGAA